TAGGCAGATCATTCTGCGGTGAGTGACAAGTGGTTTGAAGTGAACGACCTTAAATATTCCTTCATGTCATTGGTTTGAGTTATGTGTTCCAATCAGTCTAATTTGTGTTAGCAAAAATATCAATATTTACATTAAACCTAAAACAGTGTCTTCATCCTGATTCCTTTCTTGTAAATGTAGACTAGAATTTATTTTAGCAAATTTCTACATTTATATTGATTGAGGCAAGGAATAAACCAATATTTTACTGTTAAGGAACTGAAGAATTGTCTTTGACAAGCTCTCTTTTATTGAGAAATTTCAATACCTAGAAATTTATGTTATAGCAAATCTTTTTGTATTTGAATAGTTCTCTCATTCTATACATAATTGGTTGTGTAGACATTCTTAAACATGCTACTTTTTGCAATATTTCCCAAAGCGCAAAGAAATGTTACCTTTTTTAAATGTTTAATATATGCACTTTCTATAAAGAAAATATTTTTGGCTTGTGCATTTACACATTTGTCGCAAGTACCTAACCAAAATCTAGAATAATTGAGTCATTGAGCAAATCAATTAATAAATCTACTATAAACAAATTTTGCCATAAAGGAATGTATGTTATATATTGATAAGTATGCTTATAGCATTTAGTATCAATAATGACTAATTGTGTTATGGATATTGTTAGTATTCGTGGGATACAGCATCCGATATTACATATCTATACAAAACAGATAATGATCGCAATTTTTGTCACAGATATGTTCATGCTTTACAAAAATGATTTTAAGAACATTCAAATTATATCTGCTTTTGTTATCAATATTTGTAAAAAATTCTATGTAAAATATATTATTAATGTACCCGCTGCAGACCAGTCCACTTTAAGCATTTGATTCTAAATATATATTGTTTAATATTCTTTTTAAACTGTTTCTGGGGTATAAAATAACTATTTTTAAACATTTATTTTATTGAAAAAAAAATGACATGTATCAGGGAATTTTTATCGAGCACTTGCTTAAGCATCTGTTATTTTAAGATTTATATTTCAATTTTGTTAATGACTTTTCCTTTCGATACGAAAGAAGAATCTGTAGTAAAATACATTGTCTCGGTGATTCAATCAACTGCAATTATGTCATACATCAAATTTAGAATATGCACACTATTCAACACATCTTATTATATTTTCCCATGAAGAAATTGGACTCTGTTTTAAAAAAAAAAACGAAATGGCCGACACTTATAAAATATATCATCATTTGCACGTATGATTCATGCAAAACGTTACACTACTTGTATTGTTTTGAGACAGATTAGGATCTATAACACATAGAGCTCTATGTGAGATATCTAAAAAAATCCCAAGCCAGAGTATTTAATACGTTATATAGACCACTTTTAAGGGTCCTCACACTGAATTGAAAATCACTGACATCCTAGCAATTAAGTACTTAGCAGAATTTTCGATTGATGCAAATGATGAGGTCAGGTGGTGCATCAGGATACTCTGGATGAATTGTGGCTCAGTAACCCGATTGTCTAAGACAAATCATATGAACATTGCATAAACAAAGACATGACAACACGACTGTTCGATATGTTAATCGAAGATTTGGAGAAGATTCAAAGTCCGTAGCTCTTTAAACCGCAACGCCAAGGGAACTTATCAGCTGATCAATCCCAAATGATGCTCTGACTGCTGAATTTCGAGTATGTTGTCTTTATTTTTATCTGACTGTTTTCGTTTCTTAACTATCGTGCGATGTTCGAATGAATTTCATGTGAAATAAAATTTGCAGAAATTGTGTCTAAAACACATTTCCATGTGTCGCAGTGAGACAACTACTTTTAGGTGTGAGAACCCTTAAGTGCTGGGAGGAATATATTAGTAAAATACACACGCATGTGTTCACGTTAATGCACAAAACATTGACTTTTAAAAATACTAAGACTAAGCAAATCGTAAATTGAAACTTATATACATGCTAACTTTGAGTGCAACTCTAAGTTATAGGTGTAATATGTCTGTAACTGTTGTAATGAATACCAAGTGCGCATTTCAATAATTTTGTATTTTAAGATTAAATAAGGTTATAGGATTATCTTGATCATACACTTGTTTTTACCTAGAGTTGCCTTCACATGTAAAGGATCCGACGATGCGTGGAAGCGCCGAGTATTATCATATGTAATGAAACCCATGAAAAAAAAAATCAAGTAATCGGTTTGCTTGATTTGAAGTTATTTGCTCCTGGAAGTAACCGTAATATAATTAATAAATTAATATTCACTTTGTTGGAAAGAAAACCCAAGGAGAAAGCCTAAGACCCCCTTCACCGCCCATATATTTCTCATAAATTTGTTAAAATCATGATTAACTAATGCAAAATTATCACCGCTTATTTAAATTTATAAATGTTAAATAAAGGGCTTAATAATTTAATACATTATTAGATATCATTAGAACATTATGAACTGTTAAAACAAAAGCCATCAGAGATTGTATATTTATCTTGCAGGTTACAATTGCCTTCTTGAATAACCACGTTTGTGGTGTGTGTTTTTTTTTTTTTGTTCTTTTTTGTTTTGTTGTTGTTTTTTTAGATATTTAATATGAAAAACGTCTTTATTTGTAATAAAATTGTAGTATTAAGAAAGCTTGAATAAGTATTACTGTTATATATAAATGTAAAGAAGCCGTTTTAATGCCATTCAAGTTTTTCCAGACTATTACAATATATATGTTGACACAATTTTCTTATACATTTCAGTGAATAAACCGAGTGAAAGTGATGGGCCATCCTGCGATACATTGTGTATTATTTTACTCAGTAGTATTATTGGAGGTTTAAGTTTTCTTTTCGCCCTTTTCCTTTTGGTCATAATCATTTTACACTGCTCCGGTAAGTTTTCATCATTTCATATATTTTAGCTATTAACCTTTTTAGATACAATATAAAGTTAATGGATAAAGCGTTGTCTCTTTAACCAATAATGAGGGTATATTGCAAATGTCGGCAGATTTCGGTCGGTATGTTCGGGCGACCAGTTCGTCTCTACTCAGTAGATAGAGAACCAGATTACCCCCATTCGATGATCACCCTATTAACTAAAAGTGTAACTTTTTTATTTTTGTATAAGCTTTGTATAATAATAATTGCAAAAAAAGATCATCTTTTTACGTTTATTATTCTATTGCTTCCTAACTGATGTATTATTTGTTTATATTGCGAATTAGTTAAAGATTTGGTAGAATATACGGGTTGAATCAGACGCTTGGTTTCCTAATCAACGCTATATCGGTACAAAGAGCATGGAATATTTTTATCAGCCAATGAAAATTGAGTCTTTTTTGAGTGATAATCTCAGCAAATACATCAGAGCAAAAATTACTCATATTTCAACTACCAGGTTAATTATGTAATTGAAAAAAATGCTTCATACGTATGTGTGGAGGTTGCAGAAAGATTCGTATTAAAGAAAAGGTTATATAAATGAAACAAATGTTCCTTCTATTAAAAGTTAAAAAATATAAGCAAGTTCAGTGCATTTGATTATATTTTTATCCGTCATGTTAATAACTTATTTGCTAAGAGAAAAATTATTTGAAAAAAAAAAAAAAAACAACGTCAATTGCACTTTTTATTTGAAAAAGTACAGTTGTAAGAGTGGGATGCACTTGCAAGAATTAAGAACTTGTCTTGGATACTGGTAAATTATTCATATTGTTTTTTTGTCACAAAATATGTAATAGCACTCAGCTTAGATTTATCGCGGTTTTGTAAATTTACCTTCGCGGTTACACGCCGCTAAAGTTAAGCTGTCCGACAAAAACAAAATAGTGCTAACTATACATTTTATGTCGGACCGCTGACGTCATCGTGGATGTAGCACTATTTAAAGGCCCACTGACAATTTTCAAGTAAAGAAGAAACATATTATTGTCATGTGTAATTGTATCAGTATGTGTAAATGTTTGGCTTGACATTCGATTTATCTAGTCCGAACTAGTCCAATATTGAACAAGAACATTTGGTTGTTTGTTAGCCCAAACGAAGTTGTGCTAAATAATGACGTGTAACGCCTTTTCATTTCAATACGGGATATGTTTTATACGGTGGCACAAAGGTGACATGTGTGTGAGATACTATGTCGTGGCCACGAGATAAATAAAAACACACAAACATGTCACCTTTGTGCCACCGTGGTTTTAAGAATCGCTTGTGAAATAACATGCAAGTATTGATGTAGGAAAAATAGCATATTTTAAAGATTTCTTCAAAATCGCCAGCCAATAAAATATAACGTTATATTTTGACGTCATCGTTTTATAAAACTTATATTTATTTATCGAAAAAGGGAATAATGGAAATGGTTTGCCTTTTATATTAGACGGGTTTGATTTTCAGAAAAGAGCCTCCGTTAAGAGTCTAACGGCATTTTTTAGTACAAGCAGGTAGTCAATCGTTCTTACATAATTCGGGTACGATGAATCCATTTTTTGCTCTACCACGGCTGTACTTGAAGTCCTTGACCTTCTAAAGGTCAAATCAAAATGGCCGCCATTGTCCTTCACCATCTACTTAAAAAATTGTCATTCTGGTACATATCGTATCGTATGTCCGTTAATCTGCATGAAATAAAGTTTCAATTACTTTTAAGAATAATTGGCTGATAATTATACATGCTTTACACATTGACTGCAATGCCGGCAATCTTTGATTTCAAAATGGAGACCCTTTTTAACAAATAAAAGTAAAGTGCTTTTAAACAAATGGATCCTTCTGTAGGAATGTGTATCAATAATTGTATAATGATATGAGCAACATTTCATGTCGAATTGTACACACTGTGTAGGTATACTGCACACTTTAATTTATATCATTATTTCAAACTATCACAGGTCATTCGTTTTGGACAATTAATCTTTATCAGGTATCTGAGATCCCAAATGTCTTACATAAAACCTGAACATTTTAATTTACCATTAGATGTTTAAGTTTTCTTTAGTTTAATAGAATAGCATTTGTGTATACCTTTATGGACACTGGATTATTTATAATTTGAATGCCAAGAGTCAATGTCAGTATGTAAATATTTTAAAAATTGTCTGTCATCTTCATAGGTCAGCGACTATGTCTTTGAGCCCGCATGTCTTTGCAACAATATCTATTGTACGACCCGATTTAGAATAGAAAAAAACAACAACAACAGAATCCCTAAATAACGATCAAAACGGAAATTTTGAAAACGTTGTAGGCTCGATTTGATTGAGCCTGTACGTTACTGGAAATTGCAAGGTACCGTCCAAGCACCCTAGCACCGGCCTAAACAAAATTCATATATCAAAGGGGGAAATTGTGAAATTTGGAATTTAGAAACATGCGCAGATGTGTTTATACGATATGTTTTATTGTTGTATTGATATAGCTACTTTATAAAGGTTCGTATTTATCAATCAAACTTTAAACATGCCTAGACATGGTTAAAAACAGATAATCTATTTATTAATTGAAATAAACTCAAATAAATGGTAAAGTCATTTTAATCTTTATTATCTTTCACTTTGAAAAAAAGTCTCGCAAACATGAACCATAATATAAACAGTCTACGAGCTTGCACTGTCTTATGGTTAATGAATAATAATTATAGAGTAAAACATCATAGGTCTACCGCGGGTATTTGATGATGGTACATACATAGAAGATTCGACAGTTAATTGATACCAATTCTGCAATTAATATATCGACGATTTACTGCTGTTTACCCCTTATTATTAACACAGAATGATTTTATACAGCATTTTGGTTTTTTGATAGTTAATCATGTTAAATATATGCTGTCGAAGCCTATGTCTTCAAATCTTATTAAATTAACTGAAAATACGATTTTGTTTGCGTTTTGTCATTATTCATTGGTATGTATTCATTGTCTTAGTTAATATCAACGTCTACATTATAATTATGTCACTTTGTCAAGGACGCTGCGCCTTATTCTATCTCATGTTTTAATATCATTCAAGTGACTAAGATATATTCAAATCTTCATACCTATTTTGTTCTTGGATATCTTTCAAGGAATTGATGAGTATCTTATTCCATTATGATATAACATATTATTGATGTCATTTGCCACACTATAATTATTTTATCTCATATTTCTTCAGCTATCACTCCATAAAATTACTTTGGTTTTTCTTAGTGTAATTTTAGTCACTAAAATGTATACCAACTATTTTTGCACTATCCTGACAATAATGTAAAACAAAGATAAACAAGGGCGTGTCACTTGAAATGTCTCCGAAGCTCGGCTCAGTTAAGGATCCATTACCTTTGTTGCTGGGTCATGTTGGGGTGGCGTTCATCACTTTTCCTTGTTAATCTTGTTTTCCATTTTTTACATTGAAGGCATGGCTACTGTAGTCTTACAAGTTTTACAAAAAAAGAAACATTAAGAAGCATTTATTTATATCTTCAGTATTTCTTATTATTTTAAAAAGCATCCATGAATAAATGACAAAGATATAGACACAACCATCAATGTTCTAAATTGACTTATCTAGCTATCAACCTAGCTAGTGTTTAAACGTTACAAGTAGTCCTAATGTGCCACAAATGTATGCCTAGTTAAGCTTATAGCCATCCATAATGACAGAATTCATGACCGGACATGACCTTCAAAATATTTATATGAAATGAAATATTACCTTTTATGTCTGAAATCTTACTTTATGCGATATTTCTTTTCTCACTCCAGACAAATTGTTTCAAAGTACCACGCATTTATCATTAACTCTCGATGAATAACACATATATGGACTGGACATGACCACAAATGCACTCTCATATCATGACTTTTGAAATACAAGTGTGACCTGTGAACATTTGTCCGCTACATGTCGTCTTACAAAGAAGAGCCATATTTATCACAAATGATTTTTAATTCATCCATTAATGACAAAATCCTTAACCAGACTTTTTAGACACTTTAAGGAAATATTTTGTTTGAAGTCAAGGTATGATTTTGGTCTTTGATTTACATCATCAGCTGGGTTTTTTACATGTGACCCATTGTCCATATGTGCCATATATTTATGCAGAATTATTTCAAAAGGCATCAATTAATGAGAAAGTTATAGATCGGACACAACCATCTTGTTATGTTTATATCATGATTTATTATATAGAAGTTTAACTGTAGACATAACATTGCTTTTGCATTACACGACCGTTTCAAATTACACATTTACGCAAAGTTATTGTCGTTCCAGGACGGCGGCATATACAATAAACAAGATTTAAATATTTTTACCCGTACACCACCTGCTCTAGGTCAATCAAAACAGATAATTTAATACCACATGATAACAAAATAGACGACAAAAGTCCTTACACAGGGGCCTCAACCACCATGTTCTTGTCGGGTTACCTATATAAGCAAATGAAATACCATCCTCATGCACGAAGCTCGGCACTAGTATGTAGGGGCTTCTATGGGATAAACACAATATGGAATATTTCTCTTACAAGAAGAAACATTAACTCTATTCTTCAGGAAAGTAGTCTATTTCATGAAAAAAAGAAGTTTTCGAATGCCAGCCTGGATGGCGATTCCTATATTACTTTTGGAAATACTAAGACTTTTTTTTAATATCAGGTCGTGCATGAAAAATTGTTGACCGGGTTCCCCACTAATGAACTTTTACAAAATTGTCTTTCTTGATAGACATTACCCTGATCTTTGGACTGTTGAATTGGCTCTCAAGCACGACAAGTCCCAGTACATGTTTTTGCGCAATTGACATTGACATAAGAAATAACCAAACAATTTTCATGGTATCCCTGTTTGAAGAATAAGTAATACTATAAGGGACATCATTCCTAATCCTATATAGGCCGTATATTTATGCTTAACTATTTCAAAATCCATCTCTTAATGACAGAATACTAAAATGCACATCTTTTTTTAAGCACTTTCAAGTCTAACTTTAGGAGTTGAGCTTCAAACCTGGGTCTTTCTAATGACATTGTATCAATGTGACACACATTATTGCAATTTATTTCAAAATCTATCCAAAAATGACAGATATGGACGGGATTAAAAACGGGCAGACAGGGACAAGCTCTTACTGAGAGATTTGTAAAGATGTCTGTTATCTTCATGTTTGTTTCTTAGTCAAAAAGCAGCCTTTTGCCTCCCATAACCAATGATTCATCCTATAGGTCGAGGTTATACGGAATTAATCTTAACGCCAAATTGTGATCGCAAATACCCCTAACTGACACAAGAGGACGCTCGGACAGATAGAAAGACGGACAGACATTTGAGCAGGTCCCCCTCAGGGCGATACAAATCGAATTTAAAAAACATTGCAATTATTTTTAAAGAACATGCATTGTATTCTTAGAAGTATATAAATTACATCTAAATGACAAGGTGAACGCAATTATGACTCTCATTTACGTTGTATTAGGGTATAAATTGTGACCTTTTTGCACCATAAAGTTTGTAATTTTAATGGATGTTTTCAAAGTCTGCGCTTGGAAGTCTTACTTAGTACCACTGCACATCTAATAAAAGAAAACATGCCTGGTAATATGCCTTCTTGTGCTTCTTTACTTTTATTATAATACAATGTATAAAACTTAGGAAATTGTCAGCCATTTTGAAATCCAAGATGGCTGCCGCAATATTTTTTTGTTTGTTTTTGCATCTATTCTTCTCGTTAACACTTTAGCAGACTAAAATTAACAAAGCCTTAAATTAAAATGCCAAAAAATGTGTATATATCTCGCCCATGAGAGAATTAAAGTTAAATTAAAAAATTCAATGGCGGCCATTTTGAAATTGATGTTTAAAGGTCAAGGACTAAAAATACAGCCGTGGTAGAGCAAAAAATGAATTCAGCGTACTCGAAATAGGTAAGTAAGCCCAACTACCTGCTTGTACTAAAAAATGCCGTTAGGATGAACATTTTCCCAAAATCAAACCAGTCTATATTGCTAGATTTATAAAACATTACATGATATGCCCAAATGACTATGTGATTACAATTCATATCAGTGTAAATCAAACAAAACAGTAGCACGCCTTCAGATTCATGTTAATTTTCATATTTTGGAAATGTATTAGGAAGTAAAATATTGTGAGGTGAACAAATAAAGTAATTAACATATTGCAATAGGCACTTACAATCCACGTAAATTACCCAAAAGTGGTCAACATATGCAAATGAGCCCTTACTACGTTAGTAACGCAGTAGAAATATGGTGATAAAATACTGCCAAATCAGTCTTAAACCGCACATAATATGTAAGATATAACTTGGATCTTGAATGCTTTTAGAGGTTTAATGCATTTTTCTCAATATTGATTTTCTTGAAATGTTTTGGCTAATCTGGAGACTTGCAGCTTTAATATATATTACATCAATTGATGAATGGTTAAAATTCATTTAATATTATTACACAGTGTCAAGCATGAAAACATTTCTAAGTCAGAATAAAGCACAGAATGACACGAAGTGCAAGGAGAAGGAACTCCAGACTAAATTGAGAAATCAAATGTTGATAAAATGCAAATTTTATCAATATTTGATTTTTTGAGAAATAATTTTTATATGTCATTATTTTTGGTTATTGTTCAGAATAAAAGGGTTTTTGGTGAAACAGCATATTTATTTGATAATAAATAAATAAACTCGTAAATAACAACTAGCCCGTATTTTTGTTGCACCTATGACAATATCAAAAGCAGTATTTTATTCAATATTTCAGTAAAACCAAAATTAACAAAGATTAGACTAAGGGACACAAAAATATATTTAGAATGGACTGACAGCCTAAATTGTTGTTGTCAAAGGATTTTTGGATATAACATCGTTCGTAACCCGGTAAGTTTATTCTGTTCCGCCAAAATTGTGGGTACGTACGGATATGACAAAAGTCTCATTCTGTCTGTGTCCTTCTTTCCGTCTGTACGTCCTGTAACTCTAATTTGAACCATTCTTGAATTCTTCACTTTTCTCCCCGTTTGTTTGTTGTTTTTTTTGGGGGTTGGGTGTTTTTTTTTTTCTTGTTTATTTTTTGTTCAGAGAATCAATCCAAATATGATTGACTTGAAGCTAATAAAATGTTTATAGATGACAAAAAGGACTTATGCAATAACGTCAATTCTATTTACTAGTCTGTGTAATGTGTATCATTTACCTTTGCTCAATCTGATCATGTAGATGTACATTATTTTCTGTCTACCTTAAAAGCTTAAGATTAGACAAGATATTTTCTCTTATTTTTGAACAAAATAAACAGGAACAAGGAGATATGCAAAGCCATTAAATCATCGTTTTTTGTATATATTAAACGAAAGCATTTCTTCGAAAACACCTTAAAGATAGACTTGAAAATGTAAATTTGAAAAGAAGAAGTGCTAAGAATCGTAACTGAAGAGCAATTTAAAGCAAGAATTTCGCTTTCGCTACAATTATGTTGTTTTTGACAATGCTATTCCTATTGCCGTCCTAGTCATGTTCATATTTATTAAATTGATTGTCTTCAAAATAGATACAACAACCCTTTGGATTATTTTAAAATGTGTTTAACTTGCTCGTTATTTGTTATTTAAGGGTGGATATACTTCATATTGAGACACAGCTATATTTAAGACATTGAATACCTTGTAGATGAATAAAATGGCATAATGACTATCAATGTGTAAATGGTCGGTGAACAGATGATGTTAAAAATAACATTACATTTTGTCAAATTTATTTTTACTATGTAATGAATTTTCAATAATCCATGTGACCAACGGAAATTTTAATAAATACCGTTCAAAATGTCACGGTTAAGCTAAGAATGGGACAGTCAATCTTTTTTATAAATGGAGGTATATTTTTATATTGTATTTCAAACATTTTTATTATCAAATTATGGTCAATCACCATTAAAACTAAAAATCTTTTGAAGAATCTACTAATTCTAGTCATCTTGACAGCTAAACAATGAGCATAATGTCATACTGACCTTGACTCATAAATGACACTGACCTTAAATGCCAAATAATTAAATTCAGCTAGAGTTTTGATTATTGTGGCTATAACATTGTTAGCTCTGTTTTCAAGGTTTTTGTTGTTGTCGGGGTTGTTTTGTTGTCATTTTTTTTTTTTGCTATTAATGGCTGTTCTTTTGTCATTTATGAATATATTGTCTTCTGTCCTCATGCTTTGACACCGCAAAGGTATAAAGGTATATCTTGGCGTTGATCTTTATTTGAAAACTCTTCGCTACAATTTTCTTCTTAAATATTAGAAAAGTGGCTTTTGTTGATATTTTTTTTATTTTTCATATGCATTTCAATTTCAATCAGCATGTCCAACAAGTAAACACATTCTGCGGGGTATGGTCATACAAACATGACCTTGATATACTTCAATACGATAGCGATCCTTATGAATAATGTATGATTGGTGTGTATATTTTAATTAAAAAAACTTTTATTGAAACAATCAAGAAAAGTCCATGTATTTTATAAAACAAATAAATAGAGGATATGAATGAGTATAGGTTTAATACTAAACGAGTTGAATGAAATCATTCAATTGTTTTATTCAACAATTCAATAAATTCAGTATTGAATCTACACAAATATAATACTTCTATTTATCGCATGATATAAATATGAACGGTAAACTGTTAAAAAGAGCCAATTGTTTTGACGCACCTATAGTGTAACGCTATCATTAGCGGGCATTTAACATTATGTGTTAATATATAGCGCAAATGACGTCACGTCAAAGTGTTATTACACTATAGTGTGTAATGTCGTCTAGTGTAATATCGTTTTTATTTTAATGACTTTATTACACTCCTGTGCCGCGCTTTATGTGATAAGAATAATTATTTTTTTATCCGATTTCTTTTTCAAGTGTTACCGTAACTTTTTTCAATTATGTTTTAAATTGTTTCTGTTTAAAATCTTGCAGATAAAAGGGCAAGTGAAGGATAAAACTTGTCAAAAATCCACAAAAGAAAACCATTGCACACTGAAAAATCTCGATCCAATGACCATTTATAAGATAAGCTTATCCAGGACATTTTGCTGTTTTAAGAGTTCAGCACCAGAAAGATATGTAATTACACGAAAAAAAGGTACGCAATGATAGTAAGCGTAGCATATTTAAGATATTTATTTCATATTTTATCTCTAATACGAATAATTACAAACATGGAGACAGTTTATTACGCGTTTCTGAAGAATAATAAGTAATCAATAAAACAAAGATATTTATTTATACGTTACCTGTGTCTATAATTTTTTTTGAAAATATCAATTCGAATAGGGTATGACGTCCATCTTTCGTTTTTGGAAAATTGTACATTGAGTTGTTTGCCTGTGATTTTCCAAAAACAAAATATTGATACTTTAATTATCATTTATTAATTTATTATTTAATTATCTATAATCATTAACAATAACTGTTTATATTAACTTATATTGCCTAAATGATAGTAAAACATTATATAAATCTTGCATTATTATTTCATTCCGACTAGGTATGCTGAATGATCAAGAATATAATGCAAATGCAACAAGTATTTTTGTACGATGGACTAAACCTGATTGTATTTCGAACCTGCCATTGAAGTACCAAGTAACAAGCAATAAGGTAAATCTTTAGTTGTACATGTAGCAGCTCACTATTTCATGTCAATTTTATTTCGACGAAATGGGTACAATGTGTGTACAAAGCATACTATGATTGATGTTTTAGTCCCCCTTACAATTTACATCAAATGAAAGAAAATTACTATATCCATAGACAGACAGTAATTGAACTGTCCGTTGAGTTGTAGGTATAACATTAATTTATTCTGGCAAGTCGGGTATATCTCTGTAATTCAATCGCATACAAAGTCCAAACTTTGATATCCCTTTTTTACAGTAAGTTTCTCTTTTATCGCTCTGAAATTAAGTATAGTTCAACTAATATTTTATGTATTATTATTAATTTAACCATTAAATTTCAAATCGTCTTAAAAATTAATGTAACATCAGTATCAATTTTACCCTATATTAAACCCTTTTTAAACGTCAAATATAATCTTGTTTACTTTTACCTCCAAAGATCGTCTAAAATCAGTTTGACTTCGCGTTAATTTAACAGGAAAGAACTGAATAAAATCGGAAATTTTCATTGGTCATTTAAAAACATTAAAGCTGAAATCTCGGAATCTCATTGGCCATTCTAAAAAAAAATGTAGAATTGTTCTAGCCATTCCAAAACAAAATTTTAAGGATAGTTTTAAAATTAAATGTAAAGGATAGTTATTTCCATAATAAAATTAAATGTTAAGGATAGTTCTAAACAAAACTATACAATTTATTTTACGTAAGTACTTTCTGAGTTTATTTTACACAAAAACTAAAAAAAGTTATAACATTTTGTCCAGAATAATGAAACCATCAATAACGTTCACGATCCTGCATTTTTATTAATGCTCATGAAAGTATCAAATAACCCTCCAAAAGTTCAGAACTTATCAGGCTCCCTCAGTTTATGATGTCCAATAAGTAAATGATAAACGGATAAATTTCAACTATTTTACACAAAATTTAGGAAAATATCTTATCCAAAACACATAGTTTTCACAATGATCATAATATATAATTGTATGATACAAAAGATTCAATTTTCTTAATTTATGGAGACTTGCATGTGTTATTCTCGACCGATGAACAGAAATAGTAAACAAGACTTGTTTTTAAATTATTTTATGGAAAGGTCATATACCTTTTACCAATTGGGAAGAAAATGAACTATAACTTTGTTAAACGGTAAATAAAGCACAATGATGGGTCAATATGAAATGCAATATTATCATATTTAACTTGTGATTAAACTATGCAATGCTTCAAAACATCTGTTTTCAAATGATACACAATGCACCGATTAATTGACCTCGTGAAAAATGACAAATACATGACTTATACGATATTATTTTTTAGATAATCTACTGCGTTACAAAACGATATAAATAGAAAAGGCAATTTCGTTGGCCAGGTATCATGTCATTACAGAGTTCAGGGGAAATTCTGGATTTCGGTGCACACGTAATACGAGATCGTATTATGTTAGTTATTGTGTAGCCTGGTATCACTGCGGTATACCGTACCCCGGATATTGCTCGATATTATGAGGACTTTCATCCCATTTCGCGACTTTGAACGAGGAAAGAAGGTTTGTTTCGTGACGATATTTAGTCATTTTGAATTGGTTAGATATAAATTTTGTAGAATTACAAATACTTCGATAATTTCTCTAGTTAATGAAACCCCAAAAATGTTGAGAAATAGCTTTGAAATGTAATTAGGAGGTTAAATTCGTCTCTTTGCTCACGTGATAAATGAGCTCGGATCAGTCAAATTTGATGTTTTTGTGCATATACATCCTTAAAAGAAAAACTTGAATCGAGTGAAATGTGATAATGATGATAATGTTTATGTTGTAAATGTTCAATCAACAATAGAACCTCAGATGACAGTGCATTTTGAGAATAAATACACATGTCAGTGTACCGAGTATTGCTTTGGAGTTGCCCGCCGGTGTCACGAGTATTGCTTTTTAGTGTAACGAGTATTGGTTATCAATAAAGAGTAGATGCAAGTAGTTAACACAAAGTATTTACCACATTTAATTTTAAATATTTCTTACTGTGTATACTTAATTACACTATATGTGCAGAATATGCAGAATTCGGAGGTACTTTACTGGAAACATCTGGGAATAGTCCAGATTTTCATTCCTGCTCGTGAAAAATCTCAGTTTTCTGTGTTTAAAATGTTCTCGTTGCTATCGAAGGATCAACCTTTCCAGAATTTGTTAATAATTATTGCATAGTAAAAAAATGCATACAAAGTGCATTAATACTGCCTCAAGATTGTTAATATTAGACGGTATTGAGCAAGTGTGCCAATATCTAATATCAACCGACTTCCTACTATGCCAAAAATCCATATAAAGGTAACTTTCGGGCATTTTGCACCTGCACTCTAGCAACGACAGACCGTCTGCACGTGAAATTTTGTTACGCCTTAGCAATGAGTTACCGTATGACTGCCGAGCGGGTACAGCTAAAAAAAAACCGAATAATGGATTTTAATAAGATTAAGATAAAGGGCAGCAGATGCAATAAAAAGATTTTGTTCCTAATAACCTTTCACCTCATAAAGGCGTGTTTTGAAGGCTTTACACCCCACCCCTTTTGAGTCCTCAAAAACTGTAAAACATGCGCTATTTAGGCCCCAAACACTGTTTTTTTCGTTTGAAAAATGTTGTTCAAAAGAGTGATTACTTTTTCGGCGCCACCCCCATTAAAGAGGTACATCAAGGGGGTTACACAGGGGGGATGTGCCCCCTTCTGTTTGGGGGTTTGAAGTGGGACAGCAGCCCTCTAATCGTCGAGAAGACTTGGGACTTGTGGGGGGCTAAATGGCCTCAGGTCGATTTAAAGGTACCGTGTAATCAACGCCGAAAACCTTAGACTTTATCTCAATCAATTGTGAAGTTGGTGCAACTTGAAATCAGTTTTGATGGGAAAAAACAAAGCAAAATAGGATTTCTGGCAATTTTGAGACGCCCCCCCCCCCGGTTGCCATGGTAACTGAAAATTTAAAATTGAGCATGCTATTCCACAGGCTATGGTCTAGCTAACATTTGTGCCCAGTTTGATCAGTATTGAAGCATTTTTTATAGTTTCATAGCAGTTTGAACAAGAGGCTTAATTATAATTCAATGAAAACAGCCATTTTTTGCATTATGCTCATGCAGTACAAGGTTAAGACGATACCGGCATGCTTGGACGGCATAAGCCCTAGGGCCAATATTTTATTAAGTGCGTCGATATGTTTCTTGAGGCCAACAGTTACTTGCCCTGTAAAATCCTATTATTAATGTCATATAAATATGTTTTTTTATTCTTGTCCTTTTCAGAGATGGGTCTTCTTGATCAAAGTTTCTTGGGACATGAATTTAAAGTTTTTTTATCGTCAATTTTGATGGTTCTACCCTGCTGCCGACCCTGCACACACTTTATTTCATCCATAGTGTGATTTTCAATCAAATGGGAAATTAAATCTCTGTATTTGCCAGTAGGAAAAGAACAGTAATAACACCGAAAATGCATTGTTGAATCTGAAATATTTGAATAAATATCATATAAACAGTACAATATCAGAAAAATGAAATTAAATCGATAATTAGACGTGAAAATTAGACAAAAATATCGATTTTCCATACTAATGTGCTCATATTGTTTTGCAATACTCTGTACACTAAAGTTGAGCTATTTTGCAATACTCTGTACACTTAAAATCAATACTCAGTACACTTTCTTGTATCTTTTTTGGCCTGAATCTTTTTGTACTTTCACACTTTTTGCCTGAAATTTGGACAAGGCATACTTGGATTGAGAATAAAAAAATTGCTCGATTCAATTTTTTTTTATATTGGTAATATAATAATTTCTAACGATTCTACAGTATCGCGGTCAGTATTTTCTAGTGAGCAGCGGATCGTTTAGGGGTAGTTTAATCAATTTTACAAATACCTGTAATACTTTTGCGTCTTTTAGAGCTACAGAAATACCTCTAGATATATAAAACCCGTTGAGATAAATGAAATAGCCATTAGTTTGGAAAATATCGTCGCTGAACTTACCTTCGTTCCCCGTTCAAAGTCGCGAATGGGATGAAAGTCCTCATAATATCGAGCAATATCCGGGGTACGGTATACCGCAGTGGGTATAGCTCTAATCGTATTTCAAGAGAATGTTTTGTTGTAACATTTTGTTTCCACGCATCACAACAAATACCCACCCCAAAAATTTTATTTGTCATGGCTCGTGGAACCCAATAATGTCATTGCATCGTACTAGAAACACTCGTTATGCAAAAAAAATCGGTAGAATTCATGAGAAGATATGAGCTTATATTATTCGGAAGACATCTTGCCAATTGGCAGAATAGTTCCTTTAGTTCTTTACATTATCGGTCAAGGTCCCACTGGCTGTTAATAAAATTATTTTTCGATGAAAAGCTTGAGAAGCATGAAGCATATAGTTTTTAAGTCCGATCATTAAAGAAAAGTAAAAAGGGAATAAGGCAAACAGTGTACAGTGTAAACAATGTGTAAAGTGTAGTACGGACACATGCCGTGGCCAGTATCTGACCCTTATTGATTAAAGGCAATTAGGTCATAGCGCAATGTCACAATTTAAAGTAGGGAGAAATCCTTTTTCGAATCTGTTATGTTTAAAGAAATAAATCAAGTAGAAAAATGCTTACTAAAAGAGCATTTATGTCCTTTTGACACATTTTTTGATATTATCTACTCATTGAAATATAAAACAATCTAATCAAGGATAACGCTAAAATATGAAAACATTGAGCTTCATAACGTTGGTTTTCAGATTCAGCAAAAGGAAACCGACGAAATCAAACATACGTTAGTGAATCTTATTCCAACTGAAACGTATGAAATTGAAGTATTTACCATATACAATGGAAAAAGCTGCCTTCTATTAGCAGAGGAAATTACAGCAGCGCCAAGTAAGAAATCATTTCGTTTTAGTATGTGCATGATTATATTAAAATTAAAAGGAACAACCTTTAGGAGATATTTTAACTCTAAAGTATTATATAAATTACTTACTAATTTCACAAAAAAAAGAACTATGTTAAAATATTAATTTTCGTTGATTATTGAAACTTATGACGATAGACTGGCCGAGCTTTCAAAAGCAAATTGAGACTCCAGTTGATAAATAGTTTAAATGTTTTCGTTTTCACCGAATATTATGTACATTGAACTTTATTTTATATAACTGTAAAAATTAAGAAAGTTAATCGATTTACAGATTCATTTCAAATATAAAAAAAAAATGTTTATACATTTTATGTATTTTAAAAGTAAAACTGTGCCTAAAAGATGTTTGTTATGTGCCGGATAATGCTACAATTAACAGCAAAATTACATGGACAGTTAAATACCATGATTCACCCGACTTTATCAGCGGATCAGACAAAGTCGGTGTAATTTGTCGCTGGGTGGGTATCTTTTGTAAAACAAACTTATCATAAGTACAAATGTTCATGCATGGCCTCTATCTTTAAATGTTTGATTTTCTGAGGATTTATATGATAGCACTTGCATATTAAACAAAAACATAAAAAAGAAATGTAATTTGTCAATGTCAGAAATACAGATTTTATTGTTTAAATGGCTAACTGAATTGCTGTATCACCGCTCGTTCTCTTTCCTTTATCCTTTTATAAAAATTGATATTGCAAATGTAAAAACAAAGAAGACAAATATTGACGTCTATTTGATATAATATTCCAGAAGGAAACACAGGTTCATAGAGGAAAGGTGGCGATCACAGATTCAAGATATACTATACCGGGCCTATATCTCGATCGTACATATACTGTTTATGTATACGTTATTTACATGTCGGTTAATGTTGAACCACCTGTCAAAATTAAACTGAAGCCATGTACGTCATCTTAGTTTATAATTTACTTGTATATTGTCAACCCTTTCTTTACGCTAACACAGTGTTTCTCCTTTACATTTGTTTTGTACTTACATGATTTATATTAATTTATTAATCTATGGCTTACATATTCAATGGATAAATATTAAAGATACGTATAACATAAAAGTAGCATGACGTGCTTAAGAAAAGATGGAAAACAAATATTTATGTGTTCTTGTTAATATGGTATTTTTTTAATTCAATATTCTTTATTTTCTTTAAAAAGATAGCTTAACAGTTAATGAACATCAGAAAGTTCAGAAGTCATACTTTTATCGTGCTTAAACTTGCTTTTTGTAATGTCACTGATCAATCTTGATTCACCAACAGATAAACCGACTAATTTGAAATATACTGAAAAGTCAACAGAGATTGATGTTGAATGGACGAGACCGGATTATACCGGCAGCCAACAATTGCAATACCTAGTCACTTGCGATGGGGTAAATCATCGAATTGATCTTCACATTAATGTCTTTTCTTTGTTTTGATAAGCGACTTAGAAATTTATTGGAAATGCTTTTAATACAAAACGTAACTATCTTAATCATGAAAGCATGTTCTGTAAATTAATATTTTTCGAAAAAATTAGTTCTGATCTCTTACATTGAATACCCTTGTAAATGCTCAGAAAAAAAGGATTTAGTTTATTTTGTTGATCCTGATTTTATAATTCTGCTAAAAGAATGGAAGTTACTACGGATTCTTTTCTTTTTCCCCCCTTTTTAAGTAAACTCAGATAAAAATGTGTTTTGATGTACATTGAATGGACTTTACCATGCTTTTATTGTAACTAATAAGGATTTGATGTGCAAATAGTTGTTTATTTGTTGAAAGTTTGAAGTAAGACACATTTGTAGCACACTTTAGGGTCAAATAAGTAATTTTATAAAACAAACGTCTGTGGTTCTACTTCGGTAACCGCTCGTACCTGAAATGATGTATATTGGGGCACCTGATGTCTTCCACCACCGGCAAAGCTAGAAAGTGACATATGATTTCTAATTTTTTGATGCGATGACAATCCCGATCCAGAAAATATTATACATTAGGAAGTCAATTGTATTAGTTACCTTAATAAGTGTTAAGGGCATTGTCGCAACAATATGGTTACACTTATCTCTGCTTGGCAAGATCATTCATCTATTTGTTGATTTCCTTTTAAAATACAATAAAAACTCACTAAACCGGATATGGCAGGGACCGAACAAAATTTCCGGTTCTGTGAGGATTCCGGTTTACTTGAGGCATGGACGTACTTGATTGACTTACTTGTAGTGGCTGACGAAGGAGGGGGTAACTTACTTGTATATATTTCATTTGAATCCTACTTTTGGTTAAAACAAATGTTTTATTCATGGCGAGTGTTAGCCTGGAATTCAGGCGTTGATATTTCTTTACATATGCTGTCCTAACATACGCGTTATTTCATACTCGATTGTATTTTGATAATATCATGTCGATTTGCCGAACATAAGCACATGAAAAAATCGACAGACTGGAACCCAGGCTAAGCGAGTGTAAACAAACATTAAAACTACAATTGTAACATTTATTTAAGAACTCAAGAATGACAGAAATTTTCAATACCTACGACGGTATTAAGATTTCTCTATATCCTACTTAATTATTGTCGCCTTGAATAAGAAAATGGTCAAAATCAAAATATTATCAAGTGCCTTATTTTTTGCAATAAAAACGAAATCAATCCTCCTTTTAAAATTGTCTCTACTTGAATAAAATAATTAGTGTAGATTTCGCCGCCATTAATCAAACATACACGTTCTTTTCCATGCACATAGATGGATCGTTTACCAGGTCTCGTGATACGATAGTGCAGACATTATTATAACATTACTCATGTCCAACTTTGAGTAAAAGGGAAACAATTGGTCGAAAGACTAGTAAGAAATAACTGATGCAATTATTGATATAAAAAATTATATAATATACATTATCTGTTGTAATCATTTAAATGGAATGTATCTTAAGAGAAACCTGGAAGCTTTTTGAACATAACTAAAAAAAATAGGCAAAAATTATAAAATAGACTAGAGCATCACTGTTAACGTTCGTCTTTTACGCGACACAACTATCAATTAAAAATTTTAATACATCTTTATTGAACGATGAATACACAGATGATTTTATACCGACGATAGTATAAAAATAACACTGTAAACAATATGTTTTACCGATTTAAATTATCATAATTGTTATAAACACCATTTTACATGATGTTAAACCTTTAGAAAACTTGTTTATACTGGTTTATACTGTTGATTATCGTTCACTTAAAAATAACGATGGTAGAGCACATTCCTCTCTTTTTCATTATTATTTGACGCATTCATGCTAGGGAATTGTTTTTTTTAATATGAGCAAGATATGCAGCTAACTTACGGAACATCGAGGATTTCTACTTAGGTGCCCGTTCGCGAGGTCTTCCTCCACAAGTAATGCTGTAAAGTCGCCGTATGACTTTAAAAGTGTTGTATCGCGACATTAAGCCCAACCAAAAATCATAATAAGTGTCATTAATTTATCTTAATCATGATCGTCTACAATGATTTTTAGAATAAAAACAATATTTAACGTTTAGAATATAACATATTTTTGTGCATTCAGGATGACGTTGGGGAACCCTCCTCTACGACAGCATGCATGAAAACCGGTCTCGTTCCCGGTAAAACATATGAAATAAAAATTTATACCTTAATCAATCTGATGAAGAGTCAACCGTTGGTAGAGAAAATTACTACATCGCCTCGTAAGCATTCTTAATTGATAAGTGAGAATTATTATAATGCCTATTTATTCTATGGATTTAACAGTAACAGTGAGCCTAAAAGATATTGTAATGAGCCGGGAAAGTCCTATTTTAAATGCAACATAAAATGGACAGTTAAAGTCTTTGATACACCCTAAGACTTCAGCGAATCAGAAGAATTCCTTTACAGGACAAATGATTAATTTTACGGCTCACATATTTTAGTGGGCATCTTAGTTGATTCATTCCGCCATCTTGTTTTACGTAACTGAATGTGTTAACAATAACATCCATTTAAGAGAATAATATTCATTTTCTTATTCTCAAATGTTTTTTCTTACATTGTAACAATTTCTTTTCCCTTGTCACTTATTTTGTCTACCGTAACAAATTTTGATAAAATGGTGATGCACATATCGCTAAATTGGAACTTGCGGGATAATCAATCACTGATACAGATTTTATATGAATATAGACATCCAGTCCACCTACTTCGCTTTCCTTGATAACTTAACAGTAATTATCAATATCTGTCGGAATTCTAATCCCACATTTTTTTCTAAATCAGAGGAGAGACAAGTGGCCATTGAGTCTCAGTGTTCAAGATCAAAAATCACAGTAAAATTTCGCCTCGGCGGTGGATCGAACCATCAACCCCTTTATAACTGGTCCATTTAGTCTTACAGACGATATCATTTTCCTACACAGATGATAACAAAAACATTTTAATGAAAGATAGTAAAACAGTGTTTATTATCAAGTATTATTATTATTATTTCGTTTAAACCAGATAAACCAACTAACTTGACATTTACTGCAACGTCAACACAAATTGAGTTAAAATGGGAGAAACCTGAGGATGCCAGCAACCAAAAATTAGAATACGAAGTCACTTGCAATCAGGTAAATTTTCAAACTTATGATCAAAATTCGTGTACCGTAATCAATAGATAATGATCATTTCGCATTTTTAGGAAGATGATGCGTATAATTTGTAAATATCGTACTTATATAATTAGGAATGTGCACTATGTAAATTAGGCGTGATTTACATTAACATTAATTATATTAGTTTAACATTTTAATGATTCAACACTGTAGAATTAAAACTGATATTGAGTTATCGGTTTAAGTGATAACATCAAGAGAATTTTTTCGTGATAATATTCAAACCAAGAAAAGTATAAAAATCTGTTTCATTAATATATATATATAAACACATGATAATTATGTTTTATTAAATTTACGAATTACCGGTTCAAGAAAAAAAAATAGAACTTTTGCCAAGCACCGTATGTTTAAGTGTGAATTTTTTGGGATAATTTTATTTACGCCGTGCGAAAGGTATTAAATGCCGATTTACTGTTTTATCAATTCAGCTGAAGGGCTAATGTAACCATCTAAATGAGTTTTACACTGATTGTGTACTAAAAAAGAGGATGACCCCTCTTCGAAGATTTAAAAACAAGCAGCGCGTCTTTTAAGTTTGTTAAATTGGATTTTATGTTTAGAGTTTTAGACTTAATACCGTGTGCGTAACCGTGATTATCAATGACAGTTAGGCAGCACCTTCTGATACTCCCTATAAGGTTTCTGATCGTTCTAACGGGTATTGCTGCCCATTCTTGGAACAACATGGCTTCAAGATCCTGGATGGTTCTTGGTTGCAGCTGACGAGCAGAAATTCTAGCCTGCAGCTTATTCCACAAGTGTTCTCTTGAGTTTACATCATATGAACGAGCTGGCCAGTCCATAGACTCCCTCTCTAGGTAGTCCTGGACCACCTAGCCTTATGTGGGCGAGCGTTATCGTCCATTAGAATGAACTGATCGCTGACTGCTCTAGCATACAACCTAATCTGGTTGTCTGTCTAAGATGTCTTCTATGTATCGCTGGCCTATCAATGTGCATCTATTAAGCACAACCAGGTCGGTTGTTCATCCAAGCTGATGCATACCCACACTATGAATGACCCACCTCCGTAGCGGCCATGCTTCGCAAAATTTGCAGCCTGAAACCGTTCACCTTGTCTTCTCCAGACTCTAGTACGCTTACCAGGAAGTCTAGGCAGAACCTGGACTGATCAGTGTACAGAACGTGTCTGCAGTGTTGCAAGGTCCACCGTGTATGCTCCATGGTCCATTCCTAATGTGCCTGGCGATGTCGACGCGTTCTTGGGGATACGTATGCAAGGTGTTCTTGACCGCACATTACCTTCATGCAGCCTTCCACGTGCCGCTTGCGTGGAAACACGGATCCCTGCAGAATAACCAATGTCATTTCGGAGAGAAGTTGCTGTCGAAAACCTTGCACGGCGTGCCTTAACGACCAAAAATCGATCCTAGTAATTTGACATTTTGCCGCCCTTCAGAATGCCTCCTGGCGGGTGTAATATGTTATCTCCCTCAGGCTCTGGTGATGATGACGGTGTGGTGTACAGCAAGCGCCGAAACAACCTGGCGGAAGGTGGCCCCATGCTGCGCGATCCCTACAGCCCTCCATAAATATGCTTCTCTCAAATGCCGCCTTATGTCAGCATTCGCCATATCGAAGTGACAGATGTAAGAAATGTAAGCCACTGAATGACAATCAGCCGGTAATGTCGCCGTATAACAAAAACATGTGATTGTACACCCCGTCAAAAATATAAGGGCGCATACTGTTCATGCTTCCTTAACGAGTTGTAATGGCTAAGTCAACACGGTCTTATGTCAGGGGACTATCTCAAAACATTGCTGAATCAGAATTTTGAAAAATTCGAAAAAAATCTGTTTTATACTTGTGATAATTCAAAAAATACTTATGGTGCTTAGCAAAGGTTGAGTGGTATATTTAAGTAATTTAAAAGTTCAATTCTTATTAGATTTATCCAGTCTACAGAGAAATATGTAACGCTTTAATAGTAATAATAAAATATCATCTTATTACCTACACATGACCTCATGTTTTATAACAAGTGGCATCATTAATGGACGATTATTTCATTACAAGTTAGAAAAAAATATTTTTTTCATTCATTTTCCCGGACACAATCACTGACTGTGGTATTCTGAAAAAGAAAAGATTTTTTTCATTTTATAGAGTCGTGTAACAATGACATATCCACACCCTGCACAATGCAAACAACATAAGTATTGAGAATAAAATATATTGATTTTTAGGTACAAGTTAAAACAACCTCCAATACATCATGCAAGGTAGAAAACCTCAATTCTCGTCAACAATATGACATAGAGATATTTACAGTCATAAATGGGAAAAAGAGTCTTCCATTAAAACAGAATATTAGAACACAGCCTTGTAAGTCATCTTGCTATATACTTGTGATAATTGATAGTTATAGTGACATTGTGCGGATCGAAGTTATATGGTTAATGTACAGGTAAAAGTCATGGTAACATTAAATTTTGCCCTTATTGTTTAAAGTTGATATAATTTTTGTATGAATTATCAATGATCATATTTACTAATTTTATTTTTGAAATACCCTTTGAAACGACTGGTAACTTTTAATTGGTAAAGAGAGTGGGGCAGATTTTAGTGTTTTAGATAGATTCGATGTCTTTTCTCAGACAATTGTCCTCAGTCACAATTATAACCTTTTGAAATACATAACCACACCTTCTTTAAAAAAACTTTCGGATTTTCTGCAGTTTTTTTTTTGTAGGGGATCGGGTTGCTGGTTAAGGAATTTTGTACAGTTTTTTTTCTAATACCGCAGTTTTATGGACTAACAACAAAAGCGATCAATTGTATTCATCTTTTGAATTTCAATTGAACAGTATTTTGCATTCAACATCAAATTGAATGGATGAATACTGTTTTAAGCATTTTTAAACGTTCTTATGTTTTGTTTTATTTTATTTCACAAATTCATTTTATTAAAGTAAATATATTTATTCCAGCGCCACCGATAGCTTCACATTCAAACATAACCGGTAAGTAATATCAGTTTCATTTTAATAACTAGTTTTTTTTTATTATTTGGCTGGAAAGTACAATAGCCTCAAACGTATTATTTTGAATAAGACATATGCTTAATTGCTGATTTATTTTGCGATTACATTTTTATTTACCTTTATAACAAAACAATGTTTTCTCAATACAAACATAATTGGTGTACACATGTCAAAATTCATGTAGTGAGAGCAGTGATACCTATTTGAAAATCAAATCTGTACGACAGAAATACATCTTGATGAAGAACTTATTGGCGTCCGCGCCGAAGCGCGGCGCCCTAATGGAATGAAATCAGATTTTATGAAAGGGCGACAGCAACTTCTCGAGCCTTATAGTCAGTCATGATCGTTCATTCTGGTAAAAACCAATTAACCATTGAAAAGTTTATAAGAATATCTTGTCATCATATGTCTACTAGTTCATCTTCACTTTCTGCATTTCTTGCTTGGACGCCCTTTGATGCTTTGCATCAATGCTTTTCTTGTTAGTCTTATTACGTACATTATAATCACATACATGCATGTATTAAAATGATTTTACAAAAATGCAATGACTATAGTATAATTTATAGGTATAATTATGTAGATACCGATATTTAAATTATTGCATGTTTCGGACTTTGTCAAACTGAATGTTTTCTCTGATAATGGATGGTTGTTACATGTACGTTAACTTTAATTATCATTGTCTTCAATTCAAGTTTTTAATGCTTCCGAGGGATCACTTTGTTTCCAGAATTTTTTTCTTTATATGTTATAATCAATCAAGTTCATGAAAACATCGTATTGAACTGAAATGCTTTAATTAATTAATTGAATACGCCTCGACATTAATTAACATTTGCCCGATGATCAAGCTTGCTGATGATCCCTGACCATATGATTTAAGCAATGACTGCTTAATTTTCAAAGATAAACCATTTAATTCATTAGATTTATTAAAGACAAGATTCTTTCTTTTGTTCTTCTTCGAATTCTTTGTTTCCTTCTGTATTTCATTTTCTCAAAATCTATTTGCATTCTGTTTGTTTCTGTTATATTTGGCAAAAGTACATGTTTTCTAAGTAATTGTTACGTAAATTATATAAAAATCAGTTAACAACGTTAAATACTATTCACGCTTGAGAACATGTACACCCAATCATTTTTATTGTTCTTTCTTACCCAAAATCATCTCTTAAAGCCAAGTACTATATTTGTGTGAGTTTTGTTACTTCTATCTAACTGATAGTCATTCTTGTAAATTTGCTATTGTAATTTATTGCATCAGGGAAGCCCCTTTGCTAATGTTGAGCTTTGTATGTGTGAATCGGGTACATCGCCGGTCATGTATCATTTTCCACTAAATCACATAATATATATCTTATGCAGAGATCTGCCGAGGACGTGATTTTGCGCCATCGGCGCTTGCGCAGGAAAACCGGGAGCCAGACTAATATCGTATGAAAACAAAACTGTCCGTTGGGTTATTTAGTTATCCAGTCAAAACTGGTACCAACAGCAACAGGTTATCAATTTCCCTGTAATAACGCATATTTTCGAGTTTATCCGTTTCCCTAAAGCTTTTACCACGTTATCTACTTACATGTACCTAATCCCTTTCCAACACAGATACGCATTTTCTTGATCCAATAACACAAAAAACATGAATCTACTTAATATTGGTAACTGAAAGAAAATGTGTTGCTATTTTAAGAAATGCTGTAATTTACAGTATAATTTGACAGGTGTGCAACTTGATTTCCCCTAAGGTCACTCAAGTTCACTGGTGAAGTGTAAAAGAAGATGTCTATTTCGTCATCAGAGTATTTGACAGGGTGTTTAACCAATCAGGGAAACATTTTGCATGGCTTTATTTCATGATATGTATGCTTTCTACACAGAGGCAATAAAAATCGTCAGTATACAGTGTGACAGGGACATTTGATAATGCACATTATAAGACAAAAGTAGTAAGAACGAGCAATTGTGTGAATAAATTATGCAAATTAGATTTTTAAGCAGCCAATTAATTTTAAGCTAGCCATTATTTTTTAATTATTTGTCATCTTCTTTGTTAAGAACTGTATCATAAAATAACCACTTGTTAAAAATTTGATTTAAGTTACATTATACTTTTGTCATGCTGTGTCATCAACTACAATGAACTAAACAATATGAAACAGTTTTAAGAAACACTATTATAAAGTCCATCGATTACGATGTAAATAAATACCACGCAACAACATACTTTTACCTCTGATCGACAGACAATTTACTTTTCAAAAGAGTTGCTTATATTTTTGAAATGTGAACATCAATTATTATCTATATTCACACCTTTAATTTGAAAGTCAGAATCAAAATGCAAAAAAAATCATTACAGTTATAAAGAACACGTTTAAGAAGGATTTTTATAATAATGATAATTATCGTCGTTCAATAATTAACAGCCAATTATTCGTTGGTGCGTTTGTTTATTGCATAATTTGATGTGAAACTTTGTTTAATATTAATAATTTTATTTATTATATCTGTGAAATATTGTTTAATTACATTAAGATGAGACTTTAATGAAGTAGCATTGTTTGGAGTAATAGGCATCACTGATCTGAAGTGGTGCGACCGGTAGACCGTTGATTTATTGATTTTTTTATTGATTTTTTTATTTATTTATTTATTTATTTGTTTGTTTATTTATTTATTTATTTATTTATTTATTTATTTATTTATTTATTTATTTTTTGATATTGTTACGCATTTTGAACCAAAAGTGTTCTTCCCTACACATCCTGTTAAAATCAATTTGTCTGGTCAATAGTTTATAATGTATTTATATTTCGCTACGATTTTACTAGATTTGTCATAAATCTAAAGATGTGGGGTAATGACACCACGCGCACCTTTTTTATAGGGTCAATACACAATAATGGCCGCGCCTACTGATTTGTATAAATCGGTGATTCAGCGATTCAAATTTTGTTATCATTCGTTTAATATTATTATTTGAAGGCAGAAAATGTGCAGATTTATTATTTATAGTATTTATAGTATTCTATTTCAAATATTTATTTCCATACCACTCGAAGGAAATAAAACCTGTATCTATAGAAAAAATATTATGCCCTCTATATCATCTATTTATCTTGAATCAATTCTATTCATAAAAGGCTTAATATATGAACATTTTTATTCCAGGTCAACAGACGGTCTTACCCGAGATCCCATTACATGTTAGTAAATTTATTCTATGCTCGAAGGGAAAATTTCACATCGGTTTTATAAGAAAGAAAAAAATCTCTTTATTTAAATGTTCCACAATCATACCCTCAAAGTGTTATTTAAGGGTACAAACCTAAATACTATTAACCTGTAATACATGTAGCATAAGAATATGATGACATTTCGTATTAAATGAATATTAGCATTTTTTATATAAATATCGATGAATGTAAAATCGAGTGTCATTTGATAATTGTTTTCTCCATTTTTCGGTTTTTCGTTCAAGGTTTGATAGGAACCACCGTGATGTTAAGGTTGAAATTATTTTCCAACACTTTTATTCATGTGACCTAATACAATTAAATGTCAAAGAAATAGTTATTTAGTAAATGTCAAATGTTCCTTTTTAGTACTATCATTGAAGTTTCAGGTTTGATATTCAATTTGACTATTTCATTTCTTTTCTGTTAACTGTCAAAAACACATCATGTTTTATAAGACATGACATAAAGTTTGAAAGTACTTTTAATCATAATTGACAGTCATTCTGCATAAGAAGAATTCATCTGCAAAGGTGTGTGTCATCTTAATAATTTAACTTATTCTCATAAAACGGGTATTTATACACAATTTATGCTTTAAATTGCACTTGAATAGTTTATATGTTACAATAATATCTATTTCAGAATGTAAACCTCGTTTCTCAGAAAAGAGTTTGGTATGTACAGTTCTTTAGACTTTGTAATTTCAATAAACGTTATATTTTAGTTTTCCTTCTTCCCATAAATATCTTAATAAATATAAGATAAAAAGACTTTCTGTAGAAACATAAAGGTTTTCATTTAAAACAAGGTGGCAAACGTTTCCTTTGATATTTAGCTCATTTTATCATGTGAACGTTTGGTATCGCCTGTCCATCGTCTCTTATTCGAACGTTTAAGAAAATTAAATTTTACTTTAAGATTTTCATTTGACGTGTATTTTATAAATGCATCATCCTGTCTTTTTCTTCTAGACCAAAACCATTTAGGTAAACACAATCGCAAAAATTTCGTCGAGGCGGTTTAAGCAAGCAAAACCTTGGAAAACGAATCGACCAGTGTTTTTAACAAAACTTTGTGTTTGTAACAGTTCATATTGACAAGCGACATCTGATGTAGATCGTGCGCTTTAACCTGCTGAACGAAATTGTTTGAAATCATTTACACATTTATTTAAAAGTTAATATATTATTTTGTTATTTTTTGTATTGGTTCATTCATTTATTACTTGATTTAAATCACATTGTACGGCTTTTTTCAATATTTTACTAAATGCGGTTTACCTATTTTAATTTTATAATTTTATGAGAAATATGGTTATGTTCTGTTTTACTCAGAAAAATTTATATCGAGATTTCAGACATAATATTTTTGCAATTATTTGTTTGTTACTTTAACGTTATTTGACAGTGATATATTTTGTCAAGTGACAGAGATATGTTTACATGTCATTGAGTAAATTGAAAAATTTAATTAAATTGATCATTCATTTTAAGATATTTTAGAAATATAAAGAAATTGCATTTTTCATGAAACGACTGTTACATATAAATGCTTTAAAATGTCTAGGTGTAGACAGTTTTATCATAATAATGAAAATTAACGGGTTCCAATAATTATACATCAGAATAGTAAATGACTTGATACTTCAGTACAGAATTACGTACAATTCAAATTACCTATTATTTGATCGATTTCGCACGACACAACAAATTATTTGTAAAACAAAAGATAGATAAAGAAGTTAAATTGAAAAAAAAATATTATCAAAATGAACTGGTTCAAGTAAGAAGAAATTCATTATCAATATGTAATTGCGGTTATTGTGATTGAATCAGTTTTATAAAAATAATTGTTTTGGACTTTTACATTTCTTTATAAATTTTCTTATGTATTTTTTATCTAATTACTGTGAAGTGAGAAGTTATCATTAGAAACAACCTCATAAAGAATCACTTTTCTTTTGAATTTACGTTTATCATGTTGCTTTAGAAACCATAATTTGATAAATTGTGTGCTTTACTTTATTCAAATTGTATAACGTATGATATAGTCTTTTAAATAATAAAGAATAAGTCTTTGAAAAAAATAGTTGTTTGTTGAAGTCATTGTGTTCTTTCAATATGTCAGTTTTCTTTGTTATGTGTCCATTAGTACTGGCAATTTGAAACAAAGCATCATGAGTCCATTACGTTTTATAATCAATAAATTCATATTTATTTGCTCAGCAAATGACAACATGAAAAATCAAATCCAAGCCACAATAACGGATGGTCGTTGGTACAACTTATTTACCCGAATCTGTCTGAAATAAGCACGAAAGTGCACTTGTGGTATTCCTCAACCAATTAAGCTTGAAAGTGACTATATGGCCCTTACAGTGCCATTGTGACGTGACTTAAAATCAAACAAACAATTGCAAATAAACTGATATGTCTGTCCGTCTGTGTGCTGAGTAATATTAAAGCTGGAATATCAGACTGTGAAAGTTGATATTGTTTTGTGTGACTTTAAACGATCCATTTGTATACATGGGGACCCTCTACCGAATAAACCGAGCATTCTATCAATAACACATTAATCACATAATGACAACTTTGCAAATTGGAACAACATTTTTAGAATGACTTTATTTATACTCAACTTGGGGATTGCCGCAAAGGGTTAGGGCATCAGAATTGCATCCACTGTTCATTCCTGCGTGATCGTAAGAGGCGACTAAATACTTTCAAATCACGGTCTATTGTAGTCTATACATCTCTTACCTCCAGCAGGTGGGGTGGTTTGACCCCTAGTGTTGTTTAAAGTCTATAACATCCGAGGTTAGCAGAAATTATCTTTCTTGTTTCGGCGCCATATGACCTAAATTGTGTTTTTTCGCCGTAAAAAGCAAATAAAACAAACAAATAATTATACTAAAAATAAGTATCAAAACGTAACGATGCTAGCGATGATTATTCATGTCATTGTCAGTGATACATTAGTAGAATAAGTATGGTACTTAAACAACAGCTATTTTCTGACATTGCCTGTGGAATAATCAAGTAAATAATGTTAAACTTTGATAGCATTTAGAACAAGAAATGTAACGTATTGCACACCTTATTCCTGTTTATGACCTGTTAAATCTGCCTTGTTGCTGTAAGGGTTGATGTATCAGATTTGCAGCCACCGTTCATCCCTGGGTGATCGTAATAGGCGCCTAAATGGGTTTGAATCACTGGAGTTTATGCATATGCTAGCTCCAGCAGGTGACGAAGTTTTGACCTCTGATATTGCTTAAAGTTTGTATCAACCGAGGTTAGCCAAAATCATTTTTCTTATTTCGGTGCCATATGACCTAAATTGTGTTGGTATGCCGTGAAAAACAACAACAAAAACAAAGAAATATTTATGCTCAAAAGAAGTGTCAAAACGTTATGATGCTAGTAACAATTATCCATTTCACTGACAAAATATGTTAGTTTTCATCCGAACAGTTCTACAGGAATCAGAAACTCCGACGAATCGATAGCGACAGGTGAATGTTTCTAATTTCTGTAGAACAGTCACGGATGAATACTAACAAACTTAGTGTCAAACTTTATTTGGCCTCATTATTGTTCACTTAAGCCTGCGTCACATTACACTCCGATTAGGTTTACGATGGGGTACCGATGTCTGAACGGGCTGAAATTGCCAAATTTTTAAAGGTCTCCGGCCGGTGACCCTCCGGTGCCAAGTGACCGGTAGGACACCGTACCGTTAATTGGAGAATTTAAGTGCAGAGTTATTTTCTTCCGGCATTCGGTACATCGCCAGCTCACCGTAGCAGACACGGTAAAATACCATCCGATATCGGTTACATACCGGTTAAAATTTTCACCTCGTAGGCGCTTAATATTCTTCCAGTTTCTGAGCGGTGACCGATGGCGTCTCGACAGGTTACTTAACAAGGGCCCGGATGGACGCAGTACGTTGCACGTATGGTCCTAAGGTGTCCGTAAGGATAGCATTAGGGTTATTAAACGGACCATACGGCAGAAAAAGCCTTGGACTGTGAATTAGGCGATCCGTGTTCAATTCTTAGACAACGCTGAAGGTCACTTTCGTTGTACAGTTATCAGAACCTTGCGAAAGTGAAAGAGATTATTACTGTTTAACTGCTTGACAGACTGTCCAGGAACGATGCAGTGGCAGAATGTATATTCAAATTTGCTTACTGCCATAGTCATCAGGGTAAATCATAAATACAAAAATGTACCACCATCATTCTCTCATCAGCCGGTGTGCAGAGCTGAATCGGTTAAATCGCTAGACTTGTAATCTTGACATTGTGGGTTCGATTCCCGGGATGACCAACTGAATACTAGGAATCTTTCGGACGAGACTTTAAAGCGTGTCCCATGTATGCCGCCTTCCTTATTGATCTTGTTTTTCATATTTTTCTGAAATTGTGGCATCTTGCTATCTGTATCTTGCGCTGTCCTCCAAAATCTAAAACGACTAAATCTGGAGGACTCGCCTATACGGGCAACCGATAGCGAGTATTATGAAACTCAATTACATACACATATTCTCTCAGTTTTCACACACGTCAGAGGTTTCTTAAAGTTTTCAAATTTCATTTACAATCTCTTATGGAAAACTTTTATTTCAGAGTATAATACACCATCCAAAACAGAAAGCAAAGAAGGGGTGGGGGAGAAATCAGAGGGAAAGAAGGCAAGTACAATGCCAGCAAAAGACGGGATGTGAATAACGGTCGGAAAAAGGGATAGCATGCCATACGAATACCGTCCGACAGCCGACCAGATATCGCACGTATACTTTACTTTCACCGTACAATTGTTGCAAACAGGCCAGATAACGGAAGGCAATTGGACATTTATCGTACGGTAGTCTGTCGTTTACCTTTAGTATATCGACCGGTGTCCAGAAAGAAGATGTCAAGGGTTTTCACCGGTTGACCAGGCGAGTACCATTCGGAAACCGCTCAAATACCTAATGGACTTCAGAGGGAGGATGACCGCCCACTTCTTCTCGGACATGATTGAAATGTTTCACTCCGATCTCAAATTATCAACGGTGTCCCATCGATCCCTCTATATCGGCCGGTCCCCGCTTGTTATGTGACGTAGGCATAAATAACGTCACTACGCGCTTCTAAGTACTGTCAAAGTAGAAGGCGACTATGAACGGAATTCAACAGAGTATCAACTTTTGTTCTTCTACGAAAATTAACACACAGAATGTTTAAGAAATACAGCGTTTTCATTGGATGACAAGTAATATTAAGACACTTAATAATGTTAAACGTTGATAGCGGCCAAAACAAGCTGATAATATAAATATTTATGAAATGCATAGTTGCATACCTTTTTCCTGTTTAGAATATGTTAAATGTGTCGTATAGTGTTTCTTTTTTTTTCTGGTTTAATAGTCACTTTGTGTGACTATTGATTCAGCTACGAGGCAATAATTAACAAATTGATTCAGCTACAAGGCAATAATTAACAAAAATAAAACAGCTTATGACAGACAGTAACATATTTGTAATTAAGTTTGTCCTGTTATTTGCAACGTTTTAAAAAAACTTTCATAGATGTTCATAGAACAGAAAAGGTAATTTTCTAGATAGTGCATAACTTTTTCATAAAAAGACTTGGTCTATATTTTCTGATCCATTACATGATCAATTTTATGAACCAAAAAATCCCTGTACGTGAAAGATATTTATAAATCATACACGTACTATATCAATATCTTATGATACACTTTAAAATGAAACATTTAATAGAAATTTGCAATTTTTCGCGTGTGGCCATACAATACGCATAATCCTTATCTTAAAGGTGTAGAACGAACAACATAAAAGTTGTTGTTAACAATGTTAAGATGATGCTAACACAAGTATAAGTGTAATTTTGCTCATACACATACAATGAATGTAAATATGACACTATATGGTCAATTCTGTGATATAATCAATCAATATTGTTTGATACTTTTGCTAAATAAAACATCAGCTTTCCCTTTTTAATAACTTCTAAAAATTGATTTATTTTTGCATTTACAATTATATTTTGTCTCGAAAATCTTTCAAGCGCAAGTACTGCGTGAATTTCAATCTCGTTTACATACAAACGCGAGATTTGGATGTTAAAGGCCCATTATGCCTAAGAAATGCTATCATTTTCATTTTATAAATATAACTAGTTCAAAAGTTATCATTGGCCACATAAATGAACTATCTTTACCCCTTTTGCTATGTTTGTAATTGGTATAATTATAATGAATAACTATTTTGTTTGTGTGTCAAAATACTACTGTTTACATTTTGCTACATTTACGATTTATTACTATATATTCAGTGCTACTTTCTCCCGCTTTTAAACATCTACCATGCTATAAATATATATCATTAAAACATTATTAAACACATTTCCTAAAAATTATGGATTGTTAAGGCATAATGTGCCTTTACAGAAACATGTAGCGCCAGAAAAGATTTTTTTAATCATTCTAAAATGTATTCACGTGAGTTTTTTGTGCTTAAATAACGATTTTAGAGAGGTTGAAGAGTAGCGTCATAATGTATTAAGATACAAAGCTTTTGAAAATATCAGAATAAAATAAATGCTTTTCTTTGGCATAATGGGCCTTTAGAGGGGCGTTGTGAAGCGTCAAAATGTATCAGACATATAATATTTTTTTTTTTTTCAAATTAAAGATATTTTTTCTGAAGGTGTTTCTATAATTATGATATCTTTATTCGTCATGTTTGTGATGGACAAAATGTTGACATATGTGTATAAGTTAAATTCAAAATGAAGTAAAATACATTGTAGCTAATGTTTCATAAATAGCATATTTGAATTATACGTGTAAAAACAAAATAAAACATTTCATTTATAAACGAATAACAACATTCTGTTTAAAACGTGAAAAAGACTATTGAATTGAACACATAGATCGGCTTAAATATACACACAAGCTTTTAAACATAACATCGAGCCAGGACCTGATATATTGTCGTTTCATTACAGTTGTGTTATTCTTAGTCTGATTAAAATCACTGACTTATGTTATGATTTAATT